TAGTTAAATTTAGTTATTGTAATAGCTAGCTAAATTAGTTAATTTGGTGTTGCAATAATTAGTTTAAATTCAGACATTCGGACCCTCTTACATGAGGGCGCACTTGTAATAATATTGTGTATGTCTCCTAACCCCCATTCTTTTTCCCTTTTATTTACTTGCATAGCATATAGCATCATATTTTGGTTTCATGCCATTACCATGACTTGTATCCATTTTTGCATGCATTGGGTTCGACTCATCATTCTAACCTTGTTATTTCTTACTTACATGATTACATGCGCTACCATATACTTTGAGTTGAGCCATATGCCAAGTAAATAAACCGAACCTAGTAGTTGTATTTTGTATGTGTTACATTAGTTACTTGCATATTAGAGCATGCATATTTCTAACTATTTTATTCTATTTTGGCTTGCCTCGGTTGAGTACTAGGTGAGCGTTTTTGTTTTAACATATTGCATGTATGTTTGTGTTGCCATATCAAACATGTTCCCATGAGGCTAAGTGCTTATTTGATGTACCTCTTGAATGCCTATGGATGAAGGCTTTTCGCTTAAGTTGGGATTATTTAATTAGTGTACATATGAGCTTTATTTTTCAAATATCACGTATTCAAAATTCTTTTCAAACAAAACATAAAAACAAAGCATTCCAAAGTGAGTGAAATAGTCTATACTTGTGTGCCTCTCATAGTAGGTTTAGCATTAATAAATCAGAACAAGAGCATATACTGTATATAAAAATCACATCATGAGTAGTAGAGGTCGATCTTTGATCGGGTGAGGGGGGTGCTCCATTCATGACCTTTCCCTCTCATACCTAAGGTCCTGAGCTGAGATACTTTAATGGTGACGGACAAGTGGCCTTTGGCACGAGTCATGGGTTTCCTAAATTTTTCAAAAATATTTAGGTAGCGACTCTGAAATTTGGCAATACAGTCCATTTTTGGCATTTCTGATTATAAATCGCTTTTCCAAAGATTTGCCAGATTTGGACTCTTAGCTATATTTTTTTGTTTCACATTGCACTTGTAAAACCAGATTCAGAACCCCAGAAGTCTAAACTGTAAGGCTATCGTATCCAATGAGACTAAACCCTCCGAGGAACATGAAAAGCAAGCTACACAGGTTTAGGGTCATAACCGGCTAGTAATACTTGGATTACCAAAGGCCTCTGAACAGATTAACACATAATAAGTTTCATAACCCAAACCCACCCCTATAGGTTTAGCGCCGTAACCTGCCAGTAATCTTGGGATCACCAAAGGCCTCTGAATAGAATAACAAAATATAAGGGGCTGTGGAAGCAAATATACAAAATACAATGTTCATAGAGCTATGTAGACGTACATGGGACAGAGACTTTAAAACATACATATATATACTGTCAAACTTCCATAGTCATGCATCGCCATACATATAGTATCACAAGGGACTTAACCCTATGTACAGATAGACACAAAACATCTTTCACATGATTCACAAAATTGACTTCTTGGACAAGAACTTCCCCAGGAGGCACGGTGGCTGGTTGACAAAGCAAAACTCTGCAGGCAACAGCTTAGGCCTAGTCACGCGCATGCTGACCTACATACATAATATAAATAGTGAGCGAAAGCCCAATGAATAATAATAGAGTAAAGAGTTAAATGAATGATGTCCCATAACAAATTCAGGAAACAGAAACAGATTCATATTCATACTCTTGTTCGAATCATATATAGAAATCAGAGTTCATGCTTAATGATACGTGGTACATCCAATAGTGCTAACTGATCACATGCAGAGCATTTAGGGTCATACTTGTCAGTTCCATAAAGGAACCTCTGGTACCGGGAATAGATAACATACTTAAGCCACAGTATTATTACCCCCGTGCGAGGGCCTTGAGACCACGGTATTTTTATCCCTGGGAAAGAGCCTTGTGCTCATAGACCACGGTATTGTTACCACCGGTCAAAGGCCATGTACTAAGGATGCCATGAATACTTTGCACTATATGGACAATCATTCATTGATACAGAACATAGCATTTCAGAAAACAAATCATTTCTTGTCATATCATATAGGAAAATACTTAAACGTGAACACAACTTTACAAAGTTATTACTCACAGATGGCTCCAGAGGTAGACAGATAGAGCAAACAAATCAAAGAGCTTACAACGCATGACCTACACAAATAGAACAGATACATACTTGAAACACACCCAGAAAAAACTTAACTCATTTCATTTCGTTCTTAGTGTGTTGCTAAGTCTTATCCTCCTTTTTATGTCTTAATCATGGCTTAGAAATGCCTAGGATGCAATGAGGATGCCAAAACATGCAGTTCAACACTTAGGCAAATATGCTGAAAATAGAGGCCTTGCTCAAGTGCAACTTTATTCGCTCGAGCAGGTGTTCAAAATGTGATCGAGTGCAACTTCCTTAGCTCGAGTGGTCTGTAAACTCTGCAAAAGTACTGATTATATCTCAAGCGTGAGATTGAGGTCTTCGCTTGAGCGCAACTCTTGTCGCTCGAGCGGTCTGCAAAAAATGGTAAACTTCTGAGAGCATGCATTTTACACTTGAGTCAACTTTTGGTTGCCCAAGCGGAAGTGCAAGATCACAGAGTGGTCGCTTGAGCACAGGTTCTATCGCTCGAGCAGAGAGGCAAAATCTGTAATTTCTAAATTGCTATTCCAAGCGTAGAACTCAAATTCAAAGCTGTAAATCATGGTCTTTTGGGCCAAAACTTGAAGAAAACATTTAGAAACTTGTAGAATATCAAGAATTGAAGATCATTTCACAAAAATCAAGGCCCAATAGCATGCCAGTTGTTCAAATTCAAGCTTGAAATGTGGAAAACATCACATGCATGTAATTTTTTGTCTTCAAAGCTTTTAAAACATGATTAATAAAGGTAAAATAAAATGAAACTTGATGACATACCAAACCTAAGGTGAACCAAGGACATGCATGAGTAAATTACTTCAAATTCAACAAAAAAATATGATCAAGTGCATGCATGCCTAGTGTAGCTCGAATTTTTCGCACCCCCTTTTAGAGGTTTGAAAGAAAGCCCTACAGTTCAGGCTCCCACGGTTTTGAATCTAATCACACAAGTGCAATGTGAAATTGATAAACACCAAAGAGTCCAAATCCGGAAAATCTTTTGGAAAGTCGATTTTGAATCAAATTGCCAAAAA